TTGTACCAACAGGTCGAGGATCGAATCAGGGGAGAGCACAGATGAACTCCCTCTGTCAGCTCTAGCTCCCCATGTGGGGACATAAGAGAAGCCTCCCACAAGGATGGTAAAACATAAAACACATCTGGGCATCCCCTGGGCAAGGTCCTTGCAGACAGCCAATTCTCTTACACCAGAAGCAACTTGCAATCTCTCAAGTCGCTCCTGGCATGAAAAAAGAAATCTGTGTACAAATTTCTGAGCAGCCTTGTTCTACTCTCTGCGTTAATCCCTCACTCATTCTTCTGAATGTCTGAACAAGGCTTAATAGATTACTGTTGGCCCATGACAATCCGTAACTCATTACTTTAGGCTCAGTAATTAAAGCATTTGCTTAAAAAAGACAAAGGACCCCCAATTCATCCATGGGGGGGGGTCTTTTCACGAGCAGTTTTGCTGTTACAGAAGCATTCTTCCTCCAATTTCATCTTACTAGATTGTGGCAAAGTCCTGAGACATTTCTGCTTGAAATCAGCCACTTTCCCATCTTCAAGCTCTCCCTCCAGTCAGAGCCATCTGCTTGCCATGAGCCCAAAGAGGAGTCTGCCATGTTCCCCTCAACATGTATTTGAAAGATTTGCACTCAAGGACAAATGTGCAACCTTTGCCCACAATATGCATTTCAGATGGCTACAAGCAAGTTTGTGATTAGAGGAAGAATGGACGGCCAGAGTTTTACCACGGGGCTCGTGAAGACTTTAGCCCAGCATGATATAGTGCAGTGTTTCTCAACCTGGGGTCCCCAGATGTTTTTGGCCTACAACCCCCAGAAATCCCAGCCAGTTTACCAGCTGTTAGGATTTCTGGGAGTTGAAGGCCAAAAACATCTGGGGACCCCAGGTTGAGAACCACTGATATAGTGGGTTGAGAGTTGGGCTAGGAGTCTGAGGAACCAAGGTTCAGCGACCATGGAAGCACACAGGATGACTTTGGGTGAGACACACTCTCTCAGCCTTAGAGGCAGGCAGTGGCAAACCTCTTCTGAAGCCTTGCTCCCTTTGATAAAAATCTATTTGGACATATAACAACAACAACGGATAACTACAGTCAGTGCAGGATATCAATATTATCCACTGGTGCTATGTATTCCTCCATTATTTGGTTCCTTTTAAACTTGAGAGCATATTGAAAAGATACAGGTTTTATTACATTGAATAACTTCCCACACTGCTTTTTGGCATGTACTGGCATGTAATAACATTGTGCCATTCAAGCTAAAAATGCAAACAATTTCATTACAAAAAATAATAATACTGTTATTAACTCGCATTTTGATGGCCTTTCCTGGAACTATACATTCTGACCCATGGCACCATATTTCACCTTTTCTGCATTATCCCCCAAAGGAAGTTGGTCATGTTAGACACCTCCAAACCCATGGATGTTGCTTTTAGGAGTAGTCTATTCAGATGAGTTTTAAAATCATATTTGGTAGCTGCAATGGAAATATGCTTGAGAGGCGAGGAAGCCAAAGCTCAATCTGAGTGTGATTTAGTATGGGCAGCCAACTGCTCAGTTAATTCGTTGTTGGAGTGCTCCACTATATACTCTCCAGGTGGGATTTTGGAATATGAATGCTTACACTTTGTGCAGAGATGCACATGATGCATCTTGCTGATTTTTTTTTCTATTTGTATGAGTTTCAGCGGATAGCTTGTTTCCCTTCTCCCGATGGCAGCACTTTCAGAATTATAAGTATAAGCAAGCGCTTACTGTGTCGGTGGCTTTAGAGACAAGTGTCTGTGGTTCTTTTTTTGCAGGTAATAAAATGGAAAATCCAATTTGCAATTGCTGAATAAGCCTCTGAGTGAAATATGATCTTCATAGCAACATTGGTCAGGGGGTTACTGCTAATCACAGCGCCAGCATGCTTCCCTGGCGGCTTCTTGCCTGAAGACTGCATGCTGAACAGTGTGAATCTCTTGTTGAACTAGCCAGCATAGATTTAGTCACCCCGGCCTCTCTCTTATTAGGTCTTTTTGTCACAGTGTTTAATCCTCTTGCCTGATCCTTGTTAGACACAGGGGCGCTGCTGAGGCTCTAATAAAGGCGGCTGGGCACAAACCTCCAAACTAGACCCACTCAAGCGTGCCGCACTTAGGGCAATTGCTGCCTGCCTGACGGGAGGGCTTAGGAAGCGGGGGGAGAGATGCTTCCTGCATGTTATTATTTAAGAGAAGTACAGACCTCCAGGCAGAAGAGCACAGCTGGGGTAATGACAACTTGTTCACAGGCTGGCTATGAGACGAGCATCCATCTCCCTGTCGTCTCATTGCACACAAATCTGACGACCTGTCTTTTTTCTCTCATTATGCAAAACCCCCTTTTCCATAGCAGGTTGGATTACATAACAAGCTGTCATAGGGAGTGGAGAAAAAAGGAAAACCCAGTGCCATTGTTGAAATGCAGCAACATGAAGAGAGCCATCCTTTGAAACAACACTTGTCTGTGTTGCTGTGCTGCAGAGGTTTCTGAACTGTTTGTTGCTGACATTTTAGCTTGTTGACTGCAATGTGTTACTTCTCATTTGAGGATCTCTTTACAAAATAATTTCCAGGCTCATAATCCAGAGTGAAGAGAGGGGCCAGGAAGACAGTTCCACCTTGTCTCCAGTGTCATCAGTTGGGAGCCCCTCCCCTCAGCACCAGCTGATGCTCTGAGACCAGAGTGAAGGGAGGGGGCCAGGAAGACAGTTCCACCTTGTCTCCTGCATTGTGCTAATAATATAATATAATATAATATAATATAATATAATATAATATAATATAATATAATAACTATATTGTATATACATAGAATATTGATAATATTATGATGTAATACAATAAAATACTACTAATATTAATATGGCATAATTATATATTTTATATTTCATGTAATATTACTATTAATATTAGAGTATAATGGTATAGTACAATCTAGTAATATATAATACTAATACTGTGCTATGGTAATAATATATTGTATTTACATATTACTTGCAAGCCGCTCTGAGTCCTCTTCAGGGTGAGAAGGGTGGTATATAAATGTCATAAATAATAAATAAATCATCCCATACAGGGTATTCCAAAACCCAAAGTACAGTAGAGTCTCGCTTATCCAACATAAACGGGCCGGCATAAGCGAGATAAGCAAAAATGTTGCATAATGAGGGATTAAGGAAAAGACTATTAAATGTCAAATTATGCTATGATTTTACAAATTATGCACCAAATCATCATGTTTTACAACAGACTGGCAGAAAAATCAGTTCAGTACACTGTAACTTTTTGCAGTAATTACTGTATTTACAAATTGAGCACCAAAACATCACAATGTATTGAAACAGCTGTGGATCCGGGCAGGAGGCAGACTGCATTGGATAATACAAAACATTGGATGAGTGAAGGTTGGATAAGCAAAACTCTGCTGTATTCTGTATACACATGTATAAGGCTAAAAATTTTAGTCAAAAAGTCAGTCCAAAAAATCTGGGTTCGTTTATCCATGGGTCAGTATGAGTACTGCACATTAACTGTTATATAAAAAAAGAATTCATCCCTTTCTCTGAGTAAAACGTCAAAGGGCAAGGGCCTAGTTCATTCAGTCTGAGAATATAAAAAAAGCACCTAGCTCCTTTGTCTCTGCCATGCTTCTGTCTTTGCCATTTTTTGAATGACTGGGCAGGGAAATGGCAGCTGGCATGCAAAGTCTATATTAGCATGAGTATTTACGGTACTCCAAAATCATCTGCATGAGTGACTGAGATAGTAACACCTCTACTTTCTGGTAGCCCAGTGTACACAAATTTTGTTTCATGCACAAAAATTTAAAAAATATTGTATAATAATTGCCAGCTTATGTGTGTAAGAAACAAATAAATTTCATATTTACACTTGGGTTCCATCTCCAAGATACCACATTATGTACTTACATGCAAATACAAGTATTCCAAATTTTAAAATGTGCAAAACAGTTTTCACTGCAAAACCAATGTTGTGTGTGTGTGTGTGTGTGTGTGTGTGATGGACTGCTGAACATGCAACAGTTGACCATTTTCTCAGTGAGTTTTCTTGGAATGTTGAGACTATTGTTTTCATCAAGAATTGAAACCTTTGTAAATATTATTTTTCCCCCTGTCTCTATGGAACCTTGTTACATTTGCCAACAATAATTTGGTATCATATGCACAAGAGATTAGATGTCTCTCTGAATGGTTCAACCCCCTAAGCATGTTAAATAATAATAATCATCATCATCATCATCATTTATACCTACCTCCCCCCTCCCCCCCCGAAAGGACCCAGGGCGGCTTACAACAAGCAATAATACAAAAGGTAAACAATACATGATAAACAACAATAACAAAAAATATTGTCACTTCGTACAATTTAAAATACCATAAGTGTTAATAAACAATTTAAAAGCTAGTTGCCCTGTAAAATCAATCTTAAGTCTATATTGCCATTTAACCAGCCATTCCTGTTATCAAGCTATCCAGCAGTTATAATTAACGATCTCATGGTCATTCCAATCCTGTCTAATAGTTTCCAATAAAATCTAGCCATTCTCAAAGGTTTGCTTAAATAGCCAAGTTTTTAGCACCTTCCTAAGGATTAACAAGGTTAGTGCTTGTCTTATTGCCTTGGAAAGAGCATTCCAGATTCGGGGGGCCACTACCAAGAAGACCCTTCCCTCGTCCCCACCAATCTTGCTTGTGAGGGAGGTGGGATCGAGAGGAGGGCCTCCCCAGCTGATCTTAATGTCCAAACAGGTTCATAGGGAGAGATGGGGCCATGTAAATAGGCAGGATCCAAGCTGTATTATGAATAGTTGAGGGGACACCATTGAGCTGTTCTTAATAGAAATGCAATGGGATTTATCCCATTGCATTTCTTATATTTAAGTTTTACACTTAACATATTTTCATCATGTTTTCTTAAATGGTCCATAAAGACTCAGCTCTTGTTTAACCTTTACAGGTAACTTGGATTTGATTGGTCAGAAGCAAGTCTTCAAAGCAGAAAATAATCCTTGGGTCACTCCTATTGCGGATCAGTTCCAGCTGGGCGTTTCACATGTGTTTGAATATATTCGTTCAGAAACATACAAATAGTGAGTATCGTATTTCTCTGTGTGTTCCATTATCTTTTTGTTTTTAAAGGTAATTATTAAAATGATGTTTTTCCTTTAATGCCTTTACTTCCAGAATGTGGTAAGAGTTCTTACTTTGTATGCCTTATCTGTTTTATTTTCCTTCATCCCCATCCTGGCCTATGTGCAGGAATGGAAGACCTCAACTGTACTTTGCAAATATTTTTTAGTCAACCATCTTATAATTTGCACTTGGGGTGGGAAGGGACTGTGCCTTTGTAGTGTCTCTTGTTCGAAATTGACTAAGGTGTGTAAAAGCAATATCATAGTAAAAGGGGATTTTAATTGTATTAATTACATTATTAATAACTCATTCATCCTATGCTAGTTTTACTTTAACAAATCAATACAAATTAATAGAAAATGACCAACCTCCATTACTTCCAAATAATAAATTAGGATAACATAAAATATAAACAGTTATTCAGTATATTAATATTGTTGACACTGAGCAGTTTAGAAAATCTTGATGTTCTATAGTTAATTTAATTTTTAGCATCTTATTTCCAGGCTCTGTGTTGGAGAAAGGACACTGAATGCTCTATCTATTCATGGTGTTGTTGTGGTGTGTGTTAGAACTGTTCAGGCAGCCATTTGGGGGCCTATTTTCCTGTTTACATTTGTAAATATTATTATTCATTCCGCTTCTTTAGTGCAAGGTATAAAATGTCTTGGGCAGTCTTTTTATGCCTAAGAACTTCCCAGGAGGCATTATTGGTGGATAATATAAATAAGAATAAACATGTTTAGGCATGGAAATATTTTCTAAGAATTTGAAATGCAAAGTAAAAAACCCATCTAGAATTGACAGAGTGATCTGAAACTCTGAAATTGCTGTCTGGAGGTTAGGATAGAGTAGATGTATCTGTTCAACCATGCAGAAGAATTGTTGGGGTATTGATGGAATTTCTAATGGTGATCAACCTTCACTGTGCATGTTAGATAGGGACAGAAGTGAGTGGGTTTGGGTCTTTCTGGATCCAGAAGCCCTTCAATCACCATTTGTTCCCTGGATCAAGACCATTTCCTACACAAGCTTTAGGAGTTTCCACTTGGAGTTTGTACAAAGGAAAATTTTTGAAAGTTGTCAACATCATGAAAAAAAGCATACCTTCTCCTCACTTCATTACAGAGAAATATGCATTGCCCAACCACGGTGAGCTGCCAGGGCTTCAGAAGTACTGAATGGCCTCTTACTTTACTTTCCTACTACTACTAAGGATTGGTCTGTCAGAATATAATGGTTTCTGGTGTGAAAATCACTTATAGTTAAACTGTATAGTTTCAGAAATGCATGGGTTAAAAAAAATAGAGATGTGTGCCACTTTTGGACTTTCCTGTGCAAACCGGAAAAGAAAGACACAGTGTGCTCTGTGCAGTGTGCTATATGAACGGACATAACTGGAGAACGTGGTCTACATATTTTGTAAATAAAGCAAGAGTGCCACTTTCGTTGAAAACTGAATTGATGAATTCAGTGTTTTTTTCAACTTCATGCCTTCACGAAGTTCCTTGCAAGGTCGAAGCAGCTGATATAATGGGAGATTTATTTCAACTTTCCTGATCTGTATGCTATTACTTTTCTATAGAAACTCTTGTTTTGGGTGGGTAAAGTAAGCTATGGTTTTTTAACATATGAGCGGAGCTTGATGATTTCTATATGATGTTCGGTACTTGCTTTGGTATTACAACAACAACAACAACAACAACAACAATAATGGAAAAGTTGATAAGGAGAAGAGTTGGTTATGGCTCATGAATGGAACCCTGAAGAAGGAGACAGAAGGCCTGAATCTTGCAGCCCAGGAGCAAGCCATCAGAACAAATGCAGTTAAGGCCAGGATTGAAAAATCAGCCGATGACCCAAAATGCAGACTGTGCAAGGAAGCCGATGAAACAATGGACCATATCCTCAGCTGTTGCAAGAAAATTGCACAAACGGACTACAAGTAGAGGCACAACTCTGTGGCCCAAATGATTCATTGGAACTTATGCCACAAGTACCACCTGCCAGTAGTAAAGAACTGGTGGGATCATAAACCTGCAACGCTAGTGGAAAATGAGCACGCAAAAATACTGTGGGACTTTAGAATCCAGACTGACAAAGTTTTGGAACACAATACACCAGACATCACAATTGTGGAAAAGAAAGAAGTTTGGATTATTGATGTTGCCATACCAGGTGACAGCTGCATTGAGGAAAAACAACAGGAAAAACTCAGCCGTTATCAAGACCTCAAAATCGAATTGCAAAGGCTCTGGCATAAACCAGTCTAGGTGGTCCCAGTGGTCATCAGAACACTGGGTGCCGTGCCAAAAGATCTCAGCTGGCATTTGGAAACAATAAACATTGACAAAATCATGATCTTGGATCTGCGTGCATCATTTGAAAATAGTCCTAGACGCTTGGGAAGTGTTGGACTTGTGATTTTGTGATACGAAATCCATCATATAGATCTCATTTGCTGTGACATACTGTGTTTTTGTGTCATGATAACAACAACAACAACTTTATTTTTATACCCTGCCTCCATCTCCCTGAAGAGATTTGGGGCGGCTTACAAAGGCTCAACAAAACAGGTTATCACATCCCAGGGAAGGAAGCAAAAAAAGCAGAGGAATACAGTTGAGGAATACAAAGTCAAGGAGCAAAGCAAGAGAAGAACCATGTCAGGAAGTTGTGGCTGGTACCTGTTTGGTCACTCATCTGACCAGATAGATTAATCCATATGAATTCCCACCATTTAGTGGGGGTCTCGCTAGCTCAAAATTTAGACTAGATTTAGAAGTTTCTCTAGATTTTTAGTTTGTTTCCTCCACATGGTGCAGAAGGATAAGAGGCATCACAGTTGTACAGCTGCTGGAAGTTAGAGAGTTTCACAGCCAAGAAAGTATTATGCAAAGGGAATTTTAGGTAAATAAATTATTGAAATAAGCTTCTACCTTCTAGCTCATGGTGCATGTGCAATGAGGCTTTCAGTACTGAATGAATTACCCACCCATGGATTAAAGGATATATGTCAAATTGTGACTGCCATATGCTAAAAATTATGATGAAACCATAACGAAATGCCTGCCTACATTGAAGGAGCTGTGAATCCAGTAATTTTTCAGTCAAACCATCTGAGGTATAATTATTCGTAGAGTGTGATGGATCCTTATGTGGGCAAGTATCCTTGTAGGTTTGAAATATGGTCTTGCAAGCCACATTTGTATCTGTTAAAGTAGTACAACCCATACCAGTAGCAAGGAACAGGCAGCAAGACAAGACTAGGATCTTTTCTTTCTATCTACATATACAAAGAGTTAGGAAGTTGATTAGCATTCAAACATCTGTTCACTATGACTGTTCTCATAAAGTCCCGTTGTGGGGGGAAATTGCATTCAGATTTGCTTGCATCTCTCCGAATGTAGTACTAGGCAAAGTGTGGTCTTGGGACTGCAGGCAGCTCTCCATTTGCAGCTTTCATAGAATCATAGAATCATAGAGTTGAAAGGGACCACATGGTCCATCTAGCCCAACCCCCTACCATGCAGCAAAAGAACAATCAAAGTATCCCCGACAGATGGCCATCCAGACTCTGTTTAAAAGTTTCCAAGGAAGGAACTTCCACCACACTCCAAGGCAGAGAGTTCCACTGCTGAACAGATCATATGGTCAGGAAGTTCTTCCTAATGTTCAGATGGAATCTCCTTTCCTGTAATTTGAACCCATTGCTCCCAGTCCTAGTTTCAAGGGCAGCATAAAACAAGTCTGTTGCTTCTTCTTTACAACACCTTTTCACAAATTTATACATGACTATCATGTCTCTTCTCAACCTTCTCTTCTGCAGGCTAAACATACCCAATTCTTTAAGACGTTCCTCACAGGCCATGGTCTCCAGACCTTTGATCATTTTAGTCATCCTCCTCTGGACACTTTCCAGCTTGTCAATGTCTCCTTCAAACTGTAGTGCCCAGAATTGGACACAGTATTCCAGGGGAATACTCTCAAACCACTTGGCCAAAAAGAGAGGACAATTGCCTACCTGGTTCTATCAATTCACTCTTCAAGTAGATTGCACAGCCCCCTGGAATTGTTTAAGTTCAAGAGCCCCCTTCTTTGCAGTATAAGAAGTGGGATTTTGGCCTTTTTTTGGGGGGGTGGCGAATACAGATTGAGTATCCCTTATCTAAATGCTTGGGGCAAGAAATGTTTGGAATACTTGTATAGACATAATCTTTGAGATGAGACTCAAGCCTAGACACAAATTCATTTATCTTTTATATTTAGCCTATATGCAATATTTTAATAATTTTATGCTTCAAACAAATTTTGGAGGCATTTGACTATCAGAAAGCAAATGTTTCACTCGCTCAGCAACTCACATGGATGGTTTTGAAGTATTTCAGATTTTCGACAATGTGTACTTCCCTTGGAAAGTACCCCTGGCCTCCCACATGTGGCCATTCCCATTTTATTATATGCATTTTCACTCACACATATTTGTTTACTTAAAAAAAGAAGACAGCAGGTAAAATTAAATTAAATTAACTGGAGAAGTGAAAAAACTGAAAGATAATTATGTTTCAGATCATGTACTAGTTTGGGAATTGCAAGTTTAATTCAGATTTTAATGCAAACCAGTTGAACAAATTTTTCCCATATGCCTAGTTTGTACATTAACATATGCAGAAAGGGTTTTTAAAAAAACAAAAAAAAAACCCTTATTGTAGCTATAACAAAACAAACAGATAAAGAAATATGTTTAGAACAATTTCAATGCTGAATTGCCCATAAAATGATATATTCACCTACTTTTCATAAGATCATAAGATTTTTCCATCCTTTTACAACTCATCTACTTGCCCTAAAGCAATTGTTTCTTCAGATTAACCTTAATGGATTGCTTTATTATTTTTATGAGGAATATATAACTTTGCAGATTTCTTTCCTTTCTAAGAAGGGTACTTTCTCGACT